AATGGAACTTGGCTTCTGTTACTGTCCCCTGGTCTTCCTTACCTGGGAAACTGTAGGTCCTAGGGGAGGCAGGGCAAGTGGGAGCTGGGGCAGGTCCAGATTCCTGTGAAAGGAACGTCCCTCCCAAGCAGGCCACGCTCCCTGGGAGTCTCAGAGACGGCCACCTTTGGACCTGAGAGACACATGGCCTTGTGCTCCAACCATCTCCCATTTCCTTGTCCAGCTTGGCTGGTGTGAAAGAGTTCTCTGGGAGCCACCTTGGGTATGGTCAGCGGGATCAGGTGTGACTCAGTCAAGGCGGCTGTTTGTCAGAGGACCTCCCTGGACTGAGGGAATCACTCAAGTGGCTCCGGTGCAGCTGATGGGGGAATGTGTAAATTTCCTTCCTCTTTGTAGCTAGCACATCCCAGAATCCATGTGCTTTCTTCGGGGACAGGCCCAGCAGAGCTGCACTCTGCATACTTTTTTGATTTTGTGTGTGTGTTGGGGGGAGGAATACATCAACTCTGAGGCTCTTGGCCATTATTTGGAAGGCAGGCTCCTTAATCATGTCACCCTCGGTGGCAGGTCACATTGTTTTCCATAAAAGTCCCTGGGAACAGTGAGTTTGGAGCTGGTTTAGACACGTACCTTGTACAGGCGGGACAAAAATGATATGAAAAGGTGAGGATCTGTGACCATGAGCCTGTGAGTCTCCATTGTTCCCAGGTCGAGCTTACACATGCCATTATGGGAATGGGGTGCAGAAAAGTGCTGATGTATAGTTGCTCCTTTGGGATACCACTCTGCAGGGAGGAACTAAGACAATGATCTTGAGCAGAAGTTGGCACACAGGCCTTACTGCCTGAAATGAGTCTTGAAAATGAAGTTCCGTTAAAAAGAAAGTGGAACCTGTTCAGGGCCCAATTCACAGTGTTTTCTGGGCTGGTCTCCACAATTATGGATGGTGTTTTGAGTAGGGGGTGCTTGAAGTATCTCATTCTGATTGAGTTTCAACTGTTAGTGCTTGTGTTGCTAATGGCTTCTAGCTTATCCTTTCGCATGAGAAATTTTGAGTCCCGTCTCTTCCTAAAGGGGGTGTTTTGTGAGTGCAAAGGACCGTTGTTTGTCATGCTCAAGAACTGGTCTCTGTGGGTGCTATTTCTTCCTTCTATGAAAGCGAAGAAGTGTGTTTTGCATGTGCAGTGTACAACTGCACAGATTGAGAGCACACGTCTGAGAGCACACGTCTGACACAGCCTGGCCTCAGAAGGAGCCCCTACTCACACGGATGTCCGGAAAATGGACAAGGAAGGAGGCGTAGGGGCCTTAATGTGCAGGTGTGCCCTAGAGAGAGCAGAGGTGCACAACCTTCCCGCTGCGTCCCCCAGGCCACGCACCAGGTGCGGGCTGTAATCTGACAAGCCCGGAGTCTAGCAATGCAGTGGGAGCGTACCCCCTGTGGGAAGTACTACGGCCTCAGTGTCCCCAAGTCTCCCAAGCGACATCACGCAGTATGGAGTACCGGGAGGATCGCTGGCCTCTCTTTGACCCTGTCACCCAGTCACAAGCCTAGAGAAGGACTTTCCCACAGCCGCTGGCTCCCATTGGTCTGCTCCCGCAGACCTAAGCTGCACGTGCAGTACGCGGGACACGTGGGCCCGCGCTACGCACCTGGCTGAGGCAGACGGAGGAGGCTGGGTTGAGGTCACCGCTCAGAGCGAGGCCAGGAAGAAGCCCAGCGAGCCCTGTGTGGCAGTGGCACGGGGACATTGAGGAGTGAGTCCGCGAGACTCAAGAGAGCCCAGAGCTCCCCACCCCGCCCCCCGGAGGCCGGAGAGGGGCGACCCCTCCACCCAGAAGGGCGCAGGGTGTGAGGTGGGCTGGGGGTGGGGGTGGGGGAGGTGCCGTCTCTCTGTCCTGAGGCGCCACCTCCCTGGTCTGGCTTCCTCAGCCAGGACCCGTGTGTGTCCGCAGCTGTCCTGGCACCGTGAGCCGGGGCGGGGGCGGGGGGGGACAGTAACTGGGGGCTTCCAGCCCTGGCCAGGCCCGGACGGTGAAGGAGCTGCGAGCCCCTGCTAGCCTGTGGGACTGGGCAGAGGTAGAAGCCACAGGCGCCAGGCCCGGGCTCGGACTCCCTCGCGAGGCGGGATGGGGGCTCCCTTCCCCCAGGGGCCTGAGCAACCCGCCTTCTTCCCGCCCTGGCACAGGTGGCGCGCTCCGTTCCCTCGCAGACGCGGGACAGAGCGCCGAGCGCCAGGCCGCCGGGCGGGCGCCGGTTCTGTGAGGAGCGAGCGAGGGAGCAGGAGGGCGCGACGCGAGCTCCTCCTTTGCTCCTCGTCGCGTGCGCAGCAGGGGGCGCCTTGATCAGGCCTGGGTCTCCCTCAGGACCTGGGCGCTGGGTGCGCGGAGAGCGCGACAGGCAACAGGTCCCTGTCAGCCCCTCGGGAGGGGAAGGGGTAGGGAAGACCTGCAGCGGCGGGCCATTCCGCGTGGTCGCTGGGGCTGGGGCGCGGACACCCACAGGAGGCACAGAGGCCGGGAGGACCCAGTTCTCCCGAGGATGGGGGAGGGGCAGGGGCTGCGGGGGTCAAGGTGTCGCGGTAGGGGGCCTGGCGGGGGCGGCTGTGGGTGGAAGAGACCTGCGGGCAGGCCACTGGCATTCCTGTGAGCCCCGTGTCCCTGAGGGAGCTACCCGCGAGCAGGGTGAGGCCGGCCTCCTCAGAGCAGAGCAGAGCGGGAGGAGCCCCCTTCGGGGGCGGGCTGTGTCACCCCCTCTGGCACAGCACTCACTCAGGGAGCCTGCCCCGCACCACCTCGTCTGTTCTTATTCCGGATTTGGGGCTTTTCGGGGACATTTCCCACATTCCCCAAGTGCCCTCTTCTGGGGAACCAACAGCCTGCCTGCCCAGGGCCTGTGAGGGCGGGAACACTGCACAAGGGTTCAGGAGAAACCACGCTCCAGTGGTCAGGTGAACTGGAATTGGGACCAGCCCCTGGAGAGGATCCCCCGAGGTCACTTCCCTGGTAGACTTAGAGAAAGCTTCGCAGTCAGTTAGGGGAGGGCGGGGCACGTGCATGGGTGAGCCACACTCGAAGGGCCCCAGCCTGAAGCTTGGGAGCCTTGGCTAAAGACATTAGAACCTTCCTGGGGCACAGTGATGGCCAGCAATGACGGTCCTCCCTTGTTACCCAAGGAGGACTGGTGACCGAACCTTTCGAGGATTACCCTAGCACACCCACTCACTCAATACCTTTCTATAGTGTGACCTAGAATTTGAATACAATCTAGTCACGTCTCCATCTCTCCATCTCCCCCATACTTCAAATCGTGTCTAGAGCACCCATAGCATCTAATACAATGTAAATGCTAAGGAAATGGTTGTTATACCACTGTTTAGGGAATGACGACAAAACTCTGTCCATGTCCGTTCCCCATACAGTTTTCACCTCAGCTTTTTTCAACCCCAGGTTGGTCGCATACAGCAGGCTGATCCTCATTCTGTCGGGCACTTCCTCTGTGCAGGGAGGGACAGTGTGTTTGGCACTCAGTTTCCACACCACTGGATCTGCACAGAACAGATGATGAAGTCGCGAAGCCCTGAGTCTCCTCCTTTTATGCACACAGGCACTGGGTGGAATGGTATGGGGACGGTGGATATTGAGTCTGCTGTGGGAAGGGAATCACACACATTTCTCTTTTAGGGCCTCCTTCAGACAAGAGGGCAGGTACCGGATCAATCCCAGAAAACACAGAGTGAAGGCCAACCCATAGCACACCTGCAGGTACAAGTCCTGAGACCCGCGGAGACGCGTCTGTGACCGTGTCTGTGACCGTGTCCGTGACCTCAGAGATTGTGACAAGAACATTTTCATGTTATTTAGACTTCTCAAATGCAGGAAACCATAGATTCTAACCTCATCGTCACTTCCTTCTGGCATTGGGAATGTGGCCAGCTTAGCTGAGCTCCCCCCCGCCCCCAGGCCTTAAACCTCCCTTCCCTCCTATGCATTCAGCGGGCCACGCTACTCCCCAGCTCCCAACATCGGTGAGGACTAACTGAACTGATCTATGCAGGACACTTAGGACTGTACCTGGCACGTGGCGGGAACTCCATAAGCGTCCTTCAGGAAGAACGCACAGCAAATTCCCAGGGCCCGTTGGGCAGTGCAGTGTGTTTTCCTCATAGGTGGGCTGCTTGGAAGGCTATGTTGGGAGGGGATGGCGGAGCAGGGCATGGAGTCAATAGTAAGATCACACATACTCTGCAATGAGAAGACAAGGGATTGAGAACTAGCTGTCCCTGCAGGGCCTGGCTATAAGGGGGACTGCAAGCTAGAAGAACTTTTGAGGTTCTGCAGTACAATCTCTCCTTAGTGTTCCTACTCGTGTGTGAGTCTGTGTGTGTGTGTGTGTGTGTGTGTGTGTGTGTGTGTCTGTGTGTGCATGTGTGTGAGAGAGTGTGTGTGCAGTCTCCCGGTATTCAGAAACACAAGATTGCCCTCGTTAGACTGGGAGTGGGCTCAAGGCCTGCACATCTGTAGGAGTCTCCTTAATTGCAGGGGTTACCAGCCTGGGGCCCGTGCACTTCTAGAGCAGAACTGCCCAATGCTGGATAGCTCTCTGCAGCTAAAATGTGGCCGGCAACTCAATTGGTGATTTTCATTATTCCCACTGAAGTGGCCACATGGGGGTGTTGGCTCTCATGCTGGAGAGGAGGGCGCAGTGCCAGAGGGTCTGTGGATGGGCTTGGAGATTATGGGAAACTTTTGCAAGCTGAACGCAGAGGTGGACTCGTATGCGTATTTATCTGGGAAGAGAGTCAGTCCACGTCCTCGGCTTGGTAAGGTTTGATTCTGAAAACCTGAGGGCACTGAGTATGTCTTCTCATCGCCACCGCTATGCCTCACTTCTCACGTTTTCCTCTGCTGTAGGTGGCTCCCCCGAAGGAGTTCGAGAGAAGCGTCCTGGAATCTGAGGCCTCAGGCCCCAGATAAGCTCTAAGGAGCCAGCGGGCACAATGGATAGCCCCGCGGACTACTCCCTCCTGGCCCCCTTCCTGTGCAAAGGGGATCCCGTGCTGCACCGGGACGACGCAGACAGTGAAGCCTCCCGCCAGCGCTTCAGGCAGTTCCAGTACATAGCAGAAGCTGGGCCTCGGGAAGTTTTCAGAAAACTCTCGGAGCTCTGCAGTCAGTGGCTGAAGCCAAGGATGCGTTCTGTGGAACAAATCCTGGAGCTGCTCGTGTTGGAGCAATTCCTGACTATTCTGCCCACCCACCTAGAGGCCAGGGTGAGCACTTACTGCCCAGAGAACAAAGAAAGACTCTTTTCCCTCATAGAAGACTTACAGAGAGAACATGAGAGACCAGAGTACCAGGTAAGAAAAGAGTTTGGGGCCTTTGTTCTTAGACCCAAAGAGGCACCGAGGCAGCTGGGTATGGACCAGATGTTTTATGCCTGTGTCATTCCACAGCCCTTTCAGTTCTCCCTTCTGCTGGCTCACTGGCTCTTAACCCTCTCTGGCTGATCCTATCCCCTCTGCTATCGTTAAATGAAATTCACATATAGCAGAATTCAGCTGCATGCATCGACCAAATCCATCCATATTTGGCTCGACGGCCTGAAGGCCAGTTCCAGGCTCGGCCCGTGTGCATGAGCCCTGCCAATGCACGAGTGAGGGGTTTTACCTCGTTTCAGAGTTGGTTAAGAAAAGAGAGGAAGGAGAAGAGATGGCAGGGCGAATGCCGCCCACACATCGGAAACTACTATGTGGCTCTTTCCCGAAACTGCTTTCCAGCCCCGAGCCCAGCAGGGTCTAGAGAGGACCTAAAGGAAGGGAACACAGTTGATTATTGCTAATGTGCACCTCTGCATAAACTTGTTTGGGCTTCCCCTCACCGGATGACATCAGGAAGCAGTCACATGCCTCCATCCGTGCTTAGATTCAGTGTGATGTGACACTTAGGAATTCAGACAGTGAGGCACAAGTGCTATGAGCAGTACTGCTGCTTGTCATGTGATTTCCCAAAGTGGCAAACAAGTCTTGGTAAATGGGAACAATAAGTCACGTAGTCTTCCTCTGCTTTGCACAGGAGTGCATTCCCAAGAAATCAGAGTCACGCTAAAATGTGCCAAGTATTTTGTCTGTAACTGATCTGCAGGATGTGGTTCTCCGAAGGTCATGTTACCCACGTGGATGTTTGAGGGAGAACTCCACGTTGGGTAGGGACGTGGGACAGCTCTGCATTGTGAGAGACGCTCCCATCTCTGGCCCACTAAAGTGCACTGGCACCATGCGCCAGCATTTCCAAAACGGCCCGTGGGAGCCGTGGCACCGTCCTCTGTTCAGAACAGCTGCGTGAAGCCTCGCTCTGGAGAGGCCACAGCTGGGCCCAGGACAGTGTCTCTGGGAGGAGGAAGCAGGTGCTTCCAGCTGTGTGTAAGGGACGCTTGGTTATGGGGGAGTGGGGCAGGACACTCTGCAGGAGCTGTTGGCATCAGGGGAGGTGACGCCCTGGACAGGAGGCTTCCAACCTTTCCTGCCATCCTTGGGTAGCACGAATGAGTTGTTTCCCTTCCTTTCTCTGTCCTCTTGGTTTTTAACTATAGAAGATTTTGCCTTTGAGGGTCTAGACATGCCCTGTCCAGTACAGAAGCCACGAGCCCCTCCTGGCTCTTGAGCGCTTGAAGTGTGTGGCCAGTGCACTCTGAAATCTGCACTGAGTATCAAAAGCACACCGCCTGTGAACGTCTTTGCATGAAGGGGAAAGCAGCGGAAGACCTCGCTAGTACTTGTTTGCATGGATCACATGTTGAAATCATGGTCTTGGACATGTGAGAATAAGGGTGACATACTATTACAGTTGGCCAAACTCCATTCTTTCTATGCCTTGCTTCTCGGGGCCACTGGGCAATTTCAAGCTACACGTGTGGCTCATTGGACCGTGGGTGGGCAGTTTACTTCCAGAGTGTCTGGACTTTGGACTGATGGGTTCTGGCCTTTTTCCCAGATTGACATAGATGACACGCTCTTTGAAGAACTGCCACCAGTGCAAACAGAACTCATGCCACCACACAGGCACTCGCGGTCACCTGCACTCCAGCTAAGGGGATCTGCCCAAGAGGCCTTGGGGGCAGAGGCGTGGATCCCACAGTCAGGGCAGCAAGAGCTGAACTACCATGCTGCTGGCAAATGCAAGCCCTTTCTGGATCCTGGTAAGGCGAGGGTTTTCTTCCTGCTCTTTCTTCCTGCTTGAGAACTCAAGTGAACTCGGGGGTTCTGTGATTGTGGGTCGCAAAGGCTACAGCTGCTATTATGGCATGAGCACCTCATTTGGGCTGAATACTTGGGTAATACGCTGTCTTCAGATCCTCAAAGAGGGTTCTGTTACTTGCGGCGCGTAAAGGAAGTATCTATCTTATTATTTCCCCACCTAGAAGAGTGCTTTTCCAATTATGGTACGCAGGCCCTCCTCATTAGTACAACCCAGGGTGCTTGGCTAACATGCTTTCTAGGTGAGTGCGACACACACAAAGGTTTCAATGTCATTGCTCCCGACACAACAGGGTGAGTTCTGGAAGGAGCAAATCCAGTGGGAAAGGGTAGCTGGATCTTGTAGTCCGGGTGCTCCTGTGTGTCCTTCCCCTTGGGGTTCTCCTACATTGTTAGAAACCATGCCCCTTACCCCAGCCCTCCCCTCACCCCCATGAACATTGGCCCCATTCTGGCTGCAGCCCCATCCCTTACTTCAGCAGGCACAGTTTGAATGTTGTGGCACATTGACCAACCGCATGGTGGAACTACAGAAGGGTCCAACAGACAAAATGGAAACAACTTGAGAACAACCCAAGTTATGCACTGGAAGTGCCTGATGTGTCCATAAGTAGCACAGGGCCAGGGCTTAGAAACCACGTCTTCCACATCTTAGCACCTCAATTCAACCAGCATCACCAGATGTGTCAAGAGCCAGGTCAGGTGGTAGACCCTGGGGATGTGGCAGTAAACACAGCAGAAACGCAGCCCCAGTCCTCCTGGAGCTCACCCTCTGGCTGGTGGTTCACATGTGTCCACAGGACAGCCTGTCCCGTATGTGATGGGGAAGGTGTGTAGGAGGGCATGGGGGGCTAGCTGGGAGGGATGACCTGTCGGGGAAGTGGATCTCGGCAAACACCTGCAGCACGAACTCAGCCTGCTGAGTGGTGCAAGTGATGAGGGGAGAGGACTCTGGGCAGGAGGACCATTGAGTGCATAGGCCCTGGAGACAGAGAGAAGACCCTTTGCTGCCTTGCGGGGGGTGGAGGGGGGGCGGTGGACTGGAGCCATGTTGGTGATGATGGGGTGAAAGGGGTGATTCAAACGTTGTTTAGCAGGTGTGATGGACTGACTGGGTGTTGGGTGATGAACAAGAAGGGGTGACTACAGCATACAGGTCCTTGCCCAGAGACCTGGAAAGACAGTTTCCGCGGAGCAAAGTGGTCTGCGGTTGACACAGGCTTAAGTATTGTCTCATCTGAACTCAAACCATACACTTGTAGATGCTAGAGGGAGATGGTACTAAGACCTCAATAGTCAGAACTAGCAGGAGTACTGCTCCTAAAATGTAAGCTGTGTAGCACTGAGTATCCTGTCTCTGCCACTTTCTGTGCCTCATCAGTGCCATTATGAGCCAGGTATAGCCCACACTAGGTCCAGAAGTGTGTGCTGACCTTCTTCCTGAGACTCGGCCACACGGTGCTTACAACACCCTGCCCTGCACATAACTAGAGCCTAACGGGATCTTTCTATGGTGTCTCAGCACCTCTAATGACCCCACCCCGGCCCCCGCACACACACCCACCCAGGCAGGTCCAAAGCTGTGAGGTTCGTGGAACACTGGCACTACTGCTTGCTCAGGGGAGTGAAGCATAGACAGAGGCCAGGAAAAATATCAAGTTTCATATGCTACCCAGTAATGGCCTGCTACATGGATATAGAGCTCTTTCAGATTTTGAGTTCCACGCACTGATGCCATCTGGAACTGTTAGGTCAGTTGATTGTCCTGTGGACTCAGCCATTCCCACATTTCTTTCTCATTTTCTTATCACCAAAATATCATCCTCCCACACGGGTGAGACGGTGAAGGATGTGGGGGCTGAACAAGGGAAAGACTTGGCCAATGAGCCGGGGGAGTGGCCCAAACTGTAGAACGCCTACCTAGCAAGTGTGAGGCCCTGAGTTCAAACCCCAGTGCTGCCCCTCCCAAAAAAGACATGGCCAAGAGGCAGATGTGCCTCACTCAAGCTTTGTTGACAGACAATCAGGTTTGCTTATGGGGAAGGTCCTGAGTCAGGAAGGAAGCCAGGCAAGGGTTCTTCCAGCTGAGGAGGGGTCACAGGGGCCTAGCTGAGGTCACCTCTCATCTTCTCAGGAATGGCTGATGGGTAGTCATAGTCACTGTCTGGGACAGGAGACACTATCACCTTGGGTTTCTTTTTCCCTCAAGGCTTTGCCTTTCAACAGCCAGCAGGTATCGGGCAAAGTTTTATAGGGTATGCAAAGCAAGCAGGCTCCAAATAGCTCAAAATCTGCTTTGGGGGCTAATTTTCAAATAATTGGTTGTGAAGGTATTTGGAGTTGGTGGCACTGGCCTTTTGAGTGACAGAGTCTCAGTCTGCCTAGACCAGGACAAGGAGGGCTTTCAGGCCGCTGTATGAAACAACTGCTCAGGTGGCTTCCATCACAACAGCAGAAGTGGGCACAGGGACCTGATCTCTCAGTGACATTAAATGTTAACAGCAGTGCCCCGGAGCTAAGCTCTAAAACACAATGAGCCTTGTCTAGTGGATGTAAGAATTTTCCAATAGAACAGATATGGTCAGATATCCTCCCAACTCTTAATCCACGCGCTCTCCGACACAGCTTATGCAAGTGCTAGTTTCTGCTCACCTCAACCTACCTTGCTCTTGGTGAAGTAATTCTAAGTGAGGAGGACGTAGGTGCTGAGAGCGCACATGTCCAAGAAAGCATCTTGAATTCTGAGGCAGTCTGTAGTGACTCAGATCCCATCCCCACCCCACCGCACCCACACTTTCCCTCTGGCCAGGACCTGAAATGCTGGAGCCTGACTGGAGCTTCCTGCTGGAGCATGGAGGAGAGGAACTGTTGGGCTCCAAGAGAGGTAGGTGAGGGGTTACTGAATGCCAGGGAAGAAAGAACAGTTAATGCCCGCCTTCTTCAGGGTAGAGAGGGTGGGGATGTCTCTTGGGTGTCTCCACCTTCTCCCCCCGACCCCCTGCTCCCCCTTGCTCCCTCCCCCTCCCCGCCAGCTAGAGTGTAACTCTTCTTTGCCATCTGTCTAATCTCCCTGGAAGAAGATGACCTGCTATTTCTGTTTCTTCTCTTGGGGTTTTGGTGCTGGGAGGGACAATGAATAAAATGCCAAAGCAGAAAAACCTGAAGTGTTATTCATATTTTGTCTCTCAGAATACGAACAACTGGAGCCTATCTGCAAAGAGCCCCCTGACGAGCTACTGGACAGTTGCATGAAGCCCGGGTCCCCCTAGGAGAGAGCTCCGACTGGGAGGAGTCTCTCAACCTGAGAGTCCTCATGCCAAAGGTTCCCAGAGAGAAATCTTACCACTGTGGTCAGTGTGAAAAGTGTTTTCCTTAGAGGCACCAACTTGCTGTTCATCTGAAAACTCATTCAGGAGAGCTAGGTTACAAGTGCTCCGTGTGTGGGAAAAGGTTCCTTCTCAGGTCAGAACTTTATCGCCACCAGCTCATTCACAAGGGGGAGAAGCCCTATGAATGTGCTGAGTGCAAGAAGCAATTCACTCACGGGGCACACCTTGCCATGCACCAGAAAAGACATTCTGAAAAAATGTACCAATGCGTGCAGTGTAGGAGGAAGTTTCTGCATAAGTCGAGTCTGATGGAGCACATGAAAACTCACACAAGGGAACAATCTTACGGGTGCTACTGTTGTGAGAAAAGCTTTAGCAGTTGGACAGCTCTCATTCTACACCAGAAAACACACACTGAAGAGAAACCATTTGCATGTGATCATTGTGAGAAAAGATATAGGCAGAGATCCAGCCTGATGGTTCACATGAGAATCCACACGGGAGAAGCCATACAAGTGTAGCCACTGTTCTAAAAGCTTCAGAAAGAAATCGGGCCTTATTGCACACCAAGCTGCACACTTTAGAGAAGAATTCCCTGAGCACGTCGAGGTACCTGGGTTCTGCACAGAGTGACAGTAACTCCTGAGAGCCCACCGTTGCAGTGGGCTGTCTTGGCAGAGCAGATTTGTTTGAGCTCATTGCAGAGAAGAGCTTTGCACTTAGCTATTTTTAAAACCCACCTTCCAAGGCATATAAATTCTCGAGCATTCGCCTACACTTGCCACCATCCTAGACTTGATTTTCTGGGCCTGGGCACCCTTTGATTAGCTGTTTCCAATGACAATGATTTTGTCCTGAGCCAGCCGCGTTCTAGGCGTAAGTAAGAAGCATGCACACGGTGCTGTTCCTTTCAGAGCTCTGGCCCCCATGCCAGTAACACCTGCTCTGCTGCTCTGTACTATTGGCACGGATAAAGTTCTGACCTGTAAAGGAAATACACACCCTCTTCCCGTTCCAGCCTCTTCAGTTCACTGTCTGAGCAATGCAGAGATGCCATGTTGAACCATGGAGACAAGCACTTTTCTTGATTCCTGCCACAGCACATGCCAGAGTCACTCACTGGCTTTGGTGCAGCCTTGGCACTCTGCTTTTGCATCTGCATCGTTTGATTCTTTAACACGGTCTATTTTGGACACGTGGACGATGTGACCAATTCCTAACTGCTATGAAGAGCAGCATACGGCACCCACAAATAAATACTGTGACCATTAAGTGGGAATGAGTTGACATATGGGCCCTGCTTTGGAGTAAGATTCCAGCAGATAGCAGCCTATTGTATTGCCTTTCTTTGACATTGGAAATAATGATAGCACTCAGAGTTTGTAGTTGTGACTTATGGCTAGGTTTTGTCACCTTCCATCAATGTGAGGTTATGTTGTTTGTGATTTTGCCTCGGCTTATTGTTGTACTTTTCATCTCATTCCCTCCTTTTTGCCTCGAGGGGCAGACAATGCTGAACTTTCCCTGTCAATTTTTGGCTATATTGCCTTTGGATGAATAAAGGAGGTTCCCTCTATTTCTGCCTTGTGGTCACCTTATATTTTTAAAACTCTCTTATTTGATAATGGACCAGGGAAAATAAGGGTGCTCTCACAGGACCCTTTTCAAATTAACTTACATGAAGACACTGAGCATGGTTTTGAGAAGAGGTGCAAGTGGCTCTCGTGAGCGCACACAGCTGGCCATGGCACCTCCCTGGCCACAGACGTTGGGGAAAAGTCTGCATTTCAGGCAGAGAGCAGCAATTAAAAACACGTTAGTGGACTTTAAGACAGGAAAGCCAGTGTGGCTGAAATAGAGTAGTTTAGGAAAACGGAAAGGAGCCAGACCACATAGTCAGCAAATGGAAAGTTCTTCCCAATTCACCTATTTTACAGTCCCTCCTCTTGTAACTGTCTTGTAGCTGTCTCTGAACTCCTTTGCTGTGGCCTCAGAACCCGAGTAGCAGGGATGGCAAAGGCATCTGGAGGAACTCAAAACCTGGCAGGTAAGAGTGTTCACCAGCACAACCACACCAGTTAACCAACAATATTGACAAAGACAAACATTTCATTACTCTATGACCCAGAAATAAATAAAGAATGATGGAATTACATGAGATAGATCTCGGATATATCTCTCTCGTTCCCTTCTTTCCTCCCTCTCTCCATCCCTCCTTCTCTCCCTCTCTCTGTCTCATCTATATACATTTGTTTGGTGTGGCTAGATACGATATCTATGGAGGACAACTTCAAAATGCATGTACCTCCAGATATAAGCAACCACAGATTCAATTGTCCATGTGCCTATGAAAATTTAACATGTCTAAAGCTGAGTTACTGTTGTAATTTTTCCCCTCTTAGTCTTTCACATCTCAAATTGGCAATGTCATCTTTCCTACTACACCTTGCCTCCAAGGTCTGCAGGGAAGGAGCTGCTTCCCCATTTGTCAAAGCTGACAGTCAGTCCTTCTGTCTCACTGCAGAAGCAGTGAGCTTCACCAGAACAGAGCACAGCATAGACATTCAAGAAGTTATATTCAAGTTGAACAGACTCATGAAATTAATATTTGAATAAATGTGGTTAATAAATGGAAACAAATAAACAAATAAAAAGAAGTTATAGTCAATTCCCAAGGGAGAGAGGAGGGAGGGTGAGGCTCCACTGTTTTCTCCTAAACCAGTCTGAGTTTTCCCATTGGTCTGCATTGGGAGAATGGGTCTCCAGTCTCCTTTCCCTTCAGTTGCCCATTGGGGCATAATGCTCATGCTGCATGTAGGTTGGGGATGAGGGAGTTACCTCCTGTGGGCAGTCATAGCATGAAGAAAGTGAGGCAAGAAGAAGAAGACAGCAGAGGTGGCAGTTTTAAATATGGGGCTTACCTCCTGGTTATGTCTTGGCTGGCTTTCCCAAAATGTTGCCGGGTGGTAGTCTTTGAAGGATCTGGTAAGAAAACTTCTAGGCTTGTGCATCCTTCAAGAGAAGAATTCAGGCAGATGTTGAAAATGCAGAGAAAGTGACAGTAAAGTTTATTGAAGGTGAAGGGAAGGCACTGCAAGAAAGGTAGCTGTGGGCCCTGGCCAGGTGGGATAGAAAGCCTTTATAAATTGAAAGGCAAATGGTGGGAAAATTTTGGTTCGTTTTGCAGGATGGGCTATGGTGATTGACAGGTTTGATTGACAAGGTCTTGCCATACACCCTGCAGCACTCTGTGCATGCACTTAAGCTAGCTCTTCAGGTATTTTAATTACATGTGTGAGGTGCAATCAGTATTCATGTTTTAAGCCTAAGGCTTTTGCCTGAGGTAACTGTGGGCAGAATATCCTTAAGGCTTCCCTGCTTACAATTTACAACTGCAAAGGACTCACAATTGAAAGAATTTGCAACTGCAAAGGGTAGCATTGGGCTGAGGTAAAGAGTTTAGCATGAATTGCACTGAGAAAAGATTCCTGGCACCAGCCAGAGTCCCAAAATCCTTTTTGCTAGTCTGCCACAGTTCACCAATTAATTTCAAAGCAAACAGCACTACAAGTAAGTCCTACCAGAGGAACATATGGTAGATAGCCACTTAACTCTAGAAATCGAGTGGTTCCGGTTTTAGATACAGATGACTAGCTATTTGCCCTCTCTTTCTTGTTGGTCTCCTGCTGGGTTATACATTGGCACAACAATACTAGCACCTCCCTCCTTGCACTGTTTGTGGGTACTAGCGGCATACACGCCTTAAAGCCCTTAGTACCATGCCTGGCCCAGACAAGCAATCAACACACATTAGAATTATTATAATTCAGCACACAGATACCACCCACTCAGCAAAGCATCTCATGTTTCATTGGCCTCCTACCCACCATGTGCAGGTCTTCACCTTCTCCCATCTCTGTGCGTCCCCAGAGAGCCAGACCTGGGGCAGGGTTCCAAGAAACAGTGAGCCAGTTAAATATGTCTCCTGCTCTCCCATGTAGGATAGATAGTCACTCTTTTCTGCATAAGAATAGATGGTAAGGAAAATTTGGGATGTGACCTCAGCAGGCTGACTGCACAAAGGTTCCCCTCCCTTCCTCTAGGACCAGACATATGACTTGTCCACTGGCTTCAACTACAGGCCTGTTTGAGGTACAAGACCAAATTCAACCTCAAATTTAGGGTTTTGTGTCTCCCAGAAGTTGAAAAAGGCCTCTCACAAGGGCAAAGGCAGGGTGATACAGACCACAAGGCTTTTTGCATCTAACTTCCGTGTGTTGGCAGGAATGGCTTCCTGATTTGGACCAACAGAGTTTGTGGCATGGATGGATAGTAGCCTTACTCTTAGGGACTCAGAGACCCTTCCCCCACAGCAAAATGACTGCACCCTCCCTACCAGTCCCTGCAGTCTGGAGCACGGGTGAGGGGAGCAGAGCCCTTCTGAGGAGGCTCCTAAGCATGGAGGACAAGGCAACTCACCGGGTTGTACCTTGCAGTAGACTCTGCTGCCCTTCACTGGAGTCCCACCTTTTCCTCCTCTGGAAGAAGGCTAGAACCCGGCTCAGGAGCCTCAGCATGGTGCTGGCACCTGTGCCCTTGCAGCTGAAGCACAAGGCCCCTGCTGTCTAAACGCCCTCAGGTCATGGACCCCAGCCTGTTTGGATCCACCAGTCTGTCTGCAGCTCTTCCTGAGTCCCTCTGAGAAGGGACTTGGGACCAGACAGCTAGGAGCACCTCACAGGACTTCCCCCATTAACCTTAAGTGCCCTCTCCTGAGAGGCAGGGCACAGGCTGCCCCTTTCCTCTGACCAGTGCTCACGTGGTCACCTATGGCCAATAAGAGATACAGGCAGGGAAATATAGCTCCTCCCATCAAAGCTGAGGGCATCAACAGCAAGGTCTCTAGAAAATGGCTTGGGGAATGAACCCCTGGTGTGCTCAGGCTGTTTTTTTTGGGGGGGTGGGCGTTGGGGATTTTCTGGGAAAGCAGAGGTCTGGGTTGGGAGGTGTGGCAGAGCCTGCCCCAGGCTGTATAAACAAAACTCCAGCATGATGCTCAGCATGAGGACCAGCCACACGGTGGGTGCTCACTACTCTTCAGGAGGGCTCTTATGGCGTCCTGTGGGCGGATCACATTTTAGGGAGGTTGAGTACCTGTCTTTTGTACTAGGACTCCCTTTATAGACCCTACTAGTAATAAGTAGATAGATCGTCGCTATCACTTATCCATTGTTATTACGCCAGTTACTCTGCTGTATTTACTCACTTAGTAGATACTTGTTGGCTACTGACTATGAACCAGAGACACAGCTCTGGGCACTTGGAATTAGAGAATAAAACCAGAAATTAGCTTGGTCCTGCAGTGGCAATTTTTGCACAGCAGGTGGGGGAGGGTGGGAAGCACAGCCTCTCTGAAGGGAGAAAAGCATCACCACTAGTGACATACTTGGTATGTTGAAAGATAATGAACACAAGGGAACCATGACAGAGTGAGGAGTTCCAGGGGCTGCAGAGGGAGCTGGATTGCATTTTCAAATAGTGTGTCAGGGTAGGCATCCTTAGCGAGCAACAGAAAGAGGTCTTGCTTTAGCCAGGAGCCGTGTGGAGGAGGAACGCTCTGGAAATACGGAGCA